AGTGAGGAGGATGGTGCTGGCCTCTTTTCACTGGTGGCCACTGACAGAACTAGAGGTAATGGCCACAAACTGAAACACCAAAAGTTCCACAGGAACTTAAGGAAAAATTTCTTAACAGTGAGGGTGACAGAGCACTGGAACAGGCTGCCCAGAGAGGTTGTGGAGATCTTCAAAACCCGCTTGGATGCCACCCTGTGCCATGTGCTCCAGATGACCCTGCGCGTGAAGGGGGGTTGGACTAAATGATCTCTAGAGGTCCCTTCCAACCTTAAGCGTTCTATGATTCTATGATTCTAAAATATTCAAATATGACTTAAAAATCATTGTAATCTAAAGAGTTAATTCATCTAGAGTAAATCACTAGCAGTATTTGCTTCCTCTCTTTTACAAAGAAAATTCAATATACTTCCTATTTTAAAGAGAAGATGGGACAATGTAACAAAGTCTGACATTCGTTTCATCAAAAGAAACTAACAGCATCTTCCTTGTAAAAGAAATTACCAATTTTGAGCAGAGGAAGTTAAATTAATCTGAAACCCAAGGAAACCACTATGCAATTTGCACACAAAAATGATGGGTTTGTTTCATTAACCGATGCCTGGAAACAACATTTAAATTGACACATAAAAGCAGCAATTGTCTTAATTTGTGTGGTGCACTCCACACAAAAGCCCTAAATATGTTCAAATTAGAGCAAGCTGCTTGATTGTCACTGCAGTCTCATGCCATATTAATGCATGACAAACATTAAACCATACACTTAAATGGCAATTTATATCATTTAAATGTTTACTGCCAAACCAGATCATCACTCATTTAAATGTGACTTTCTGACAGCTAATTTCAGTTAATTTTCCTCGATTCACTTAATTAGAACTTTCAATCAAGAAAAGACCTGTACATATCTTCTACTTCATATCATTCTCTTTTTATTATTATTTTTATTAGGATTCCCAGCTACTGAATTGCTGAAAGCATTCTTTAAAGTGAATTACTACACGGTATACTATCTCTTTGGATGATCATGTGGAAGTATCTTACAACATATGCGCTTAGAGAGAATTTTTTTTTAACTTGTTTTATTTTCTTTTTTAAATAAAAAAAACAGAGATTCACAATTAAAGCTATAAAAAACACAAGCAGGTCAATTAAAAATTAATGATTTCAAAATTGTTTAATAAGATAAAACCAGTCAGGAGACTCATGAGTGCCCATACCACTACAATTTGCAGCCATAAAATTCTACGGGGCTCAGCAAATGACAATGATAGGGATTAATTTTCTTGCTATCCAGCTAAAATGTTTTAACCCTAAAACATACTATTATCATTGCGTAGCAGGCTACACAGTGGGACATTACACATTATAGTATTTCTCTCAGGAAAAAACAATGTTAGGGACTTGTCTGTACATATTAAACGTATATTAAATATCTCACATTTTTTGATACTTTGCCTTGTTTTCAAAACTGAATTCGTAATGGTCATAGCACACTTAAAAAACACCTGGAAAAGAATAACTGGAGAAATACCACTCTGCAGTCTTCTCAGATCAACAGACAAATCAACCTGACTATCTTGAAAACACAAAACCAAAACGCACACCCCACGCCTGTTCGCGGAGCAGTTGCTAGCCAATTTACTTCCCTTCTTCAAGTTCAAAATTAATTTACACTTGCAACTAGTATGAATTCAGTAGTAGTTATTTGGATTCTGTTTTTGGTTTTTTCCTACATTAAGCAATTGTAAACCTTCTTATTTGCTAAACCACAAATCTAACTAAGGGCTAAAAGAAATGCCTAGAGGCAACGTTAATACTCAGGACCCTGAAGAACAGGCCTAACGCTGCAAATGCCAATTCAAACAATAAATAAGCTGGCCTGTCACTGCAGGTTCACAGCTAAGTTCTTCACCGGAGGGAGGTGTTTATGCTGTGACACCACTGGTGTAGGATCAATAATTAATAGGCCACATAAGGCTTAAAAAAAAAAGGTATTTTTTCATGGCAAACAATGCAATGTTCTAGGATGTGTTATGAACACCGTAGAGCCACACTGGTACATATTGTTTAAGACGGGCACCACTAAAAATATCTGTAAAAACAAACAAGGTCCCAGTTTGCATAAACCCACAAAGCAAATCTATTACAGTTCTAGAAATTATCCTCTTTTAAGAAGGTTTTCCTTTTTTTTAATTATTACTGCCAGCATTTGCTCATTGCAAAACTAAAACAAGGGTGCTGAATGCCAAGCATTTAGGATTACTTAAGCATTTCGGGCAGGCAGTGCTCATTAAGGCTCCCATTAAATATGGCCTGCAGCTCGGGGACACTAACCCTCTTCCCATGCCGCTCTTAAAACCACCCAGTGAACCATTAGTGCTCCCCCAGCAGCCTGCCTGCATCATTTACACCCCCTGCGTGCACTCAGCAAAACGAGTATAACATGAAAATCCACTAAAATGTCCAGCATAATACAGTAATATCGAATCCTATTGAGTTATTGTAAAGTAAATCAGTGACTAATGCCCAATTGTTAAGGAGCAAATAAGACCCTGGAAAGACTGTCATGTGAAGCCACACACAAATTGTCAAACCCGTCCACAGGGACTCATATTAACTTTGACAAACCTTCCTGCGGCTGATATCTGTTTCTTTAATGAGATCTATTAGGCAGAGACTAAAACACTTGAGATATGCTAAAAAGTACAGTATACAGATGTCAAACACAAACACCTATTAGTAACTTTCATTTCACCATTCCCAAGGTAGAAATGCTGCAGAAACATCAACAAACTGCAGCTTTGATCTTAGAAGCAAATTTTGGTTTATACATCAATATTTTTTTTCAAACGTACACCCTGATGTCATTAAAAAATACAATTAAAACTACTTCTTCAAGAATAATTCTGAAATTTATTGTTTAATGTCCTTCTTTTAATTTAATCTTTTCCAAAAGGAATGAACAGAGAATAATTTTCTGCTAGGAAATGAGGACCGTAAGTCCAGAATACAATTGATTTGGTAAAACATGGGGAGAATGATGGAAATATAAAACCAGCCAGGTTATGAAAGATTTTTCCTTTTTTTCCCCTTATAAACACTCTTGCTATTCATTGCGATAAGCTTCCCAAACAATCGTCACCCTATACCCTCAGAATCAAGACCGAGCAAAATGTAACTACCACAGGGTTTTGCCTTCTGCTTTCTTTTTTCTTCTGATTTAGCTTATTTAACAGATTATAGTATATGAAATTATGCCTATTAAAAATAAATATATAATGTGCTAGAGATTAAAATATTCCAATGCTGAAATCAGGTAAAGATGGCAAGTGTATTTCTTTTCACCAGTGTAGATATTGTTTCATAATGAAGATACTCTGAAATATAAGGCCACAGTCTTGGCTTGCCTTACTCCTATGCTGCTCAAAGCAAAATAATTCTTAATTATGGCGTAAAGCTATAAACTCTTATTTCGAAAGAGAGAATACAAGTCCAACCTCTACAAAATGTGTTTTACATATCTAGAATGAAAGGAGAATTTTTTGTTGAGCTAACAAAACTGTTTCTCATGCATAACAAATCTCTCCTATTTATGCGATAAAAAAAAGATAAG